AAATTGTTTTACGGAGTCAGTTCTGGGTTTTTAATGAAAGCTCCATTAGTGCAAAAAGCTCAAAGCAAGGAAGCAGAAATGTAAATTTCAGAGACCCTGATGCTTTTACTTATGAAAAACTCTCATCTTCCCATTTGATAGCACCTGAACTTTTCACAAGGAGAGCTCTATTTCTGAACAAACCAAGAGTGCCTGTAGTGCTCAGTGGCCTAATGTCTTTGATCATAAGTGGATTCAGATATTGTGTTATTAGTCATCTGCTAATCAAGGTGCTGATTATGGCCTCATTAAATCTCATCGCCTTAATAATCTAATTTTCTTCTAAGCTGCAAAAATGATAAACAAGTTTATTATCATTGCTATCAAGATTAAGTTAACCCATTTGAACTCTGAGAAATTGAGCCAATTTTAATTTTGATGTGTTACTTCAGCCATTTTCAGAGAAAAATGTCATCAAAGGCAAAAAAATAATGTAACTATGGGAATGTCTATAGGCTTATGATCACAGATGAGATGACAGGACTCACCTTTGTAAAATTATAACTTTATGAAGTTTTGACTCCTAAGATCCACTTTAAATGCAGATGTTAGTACTGCTGGCTTTCCACCTGAGCCCTTTATAAAATGTCAGCTCACAGTTTCTGAGTTGGAGAAGCAACTTAATGAAAAAATTTTCTACACTGTGGTGTGATATTTTCTTCGTTTTGTCTTTCTTTTCCTTTTTATAACAAAAGTTACTTATAAAGATAAATCAGTGCTACACTGACCATATATCAGCAAGCCAATTCAACAGCCCATTGCTTGTTTAACAGGTATCAAACTCCTATTGCCTTGAGGTATTTTCCAGACCTGCTTAACCTTACTAATAAAATCCACAGAGTTTGGTTTTTCTTGTACAGTTGGGGCCATAGTGATGCACAGCCCTGCCCAGGGGTTTCATGCACATGGTAGCATGTGGGAACAGTGCCTCTAAATTGTGCAGTGGATGCCACTGCTCTAAGTTTAGTTTCTTAGAAATAATTCATTCTATGAATTTTGTCCATAACTAAATTAATACCTCAACTATGGCTTCTTTCATATGTGCAGAAATAACTGGGTTAAAAGTAAACTAACAAAATTATACCTCTCTGAAGACTCTTGAAGTCTTGGCATATGTATTTACTGTTATTAGTATACTGCAGTGCTTCAAAATTTAATGTATCTAAAGAAAAGAAAAGCTTGTCTCATTAATTTCCAACATTCTTTCTCTAGGCTTTTTACCTTTTTGATTAAGGTAGAATTTTAGATGAAATTCAATATGGCTATTACTGAGTGGTTTATGAAACCCAAATACTCATGGGAAAAATTAAGAATTTTAATAATTGTAAAAGAAGAAATTCATTTAAATCAGCCTTTGGTTTATCTGTTTAAATTGAACACATTTATTAAATCATTATTGTACAATTTTGAACTTTCTTCTGCTCTTACATAAACAAATCTCCTCTGGATTTCTTATTTCATTAAAAAAAAATCTTGCTTTCCTTTGACAAGATGAATCCGGTATATGGACTAGAGACTGAATTATTTTCCTTTATTTCTACTGAAGGGAAGGCAATTAGTTAATTGTGGGGCTAAGTTGACCTAACTTTATTCCTTGAACATTTGAGAAAAGAATGCCTTTCCCTGCTACTTTTTTGCTATTTCAGGATATTCTGAGCAATCCTGGTGACTCATAACCAACCATTTTCATGGCCGGCTTTGTATAACTGAGGGAACACATCCTTCTGGGTGAGAAGTGAGCCTTGCTTAACTCAGTGTCCCTGACACATTTCCATGGAAGAAGGACCATGACTAGTACAGCAGAATCCTAAAGCAGACAGCTGAAAGCAGCAGATGTCTGTGAAGTTCTGTGTTTCATCCCCATGCCATTTTTTATTCATAAGAGGTGGCTTAGTGGTTGTAAAATAATGGTTTCTCTTCCATTTCTTTCCTTTCTGCTCAATAAATTGATGTTCCAGAGAGATCTTTTAGCTTTGTTTTGTGGATGTATGTGCCCTAGACAAATAAATGCCCCCAGATTCTATAATTATCTAGTTTGAGAAATACGGCCTTAGTGGATTCAAGCCCTCCTATTTGTACCTTTTAGGGCTGTTAGTCTTTAGATCGGTTTGGGTCTATATTTGTCCAGGTAAATTTCATATATTATTATATCTTAAATTATCTGAAATCTGATGGGACAAATTATTCTGGAGCTTGCTTCTCTCTCAGTTCCATTCTATCTCTTTCCATCACTTGACCACAACTTAGGCTTCCATTTGTGAACCATTCAGTTTGTCCTTAATCTTTCCAATTTGATTTTTCTGAAATGTTTCTGTAAATGTCTTTAGTTCTTTTCTGTTCACTAACTCTATTGAGCTTTTTATTGTTGTGGCTGGATTTCAGCCTCTCTTTACATCTCAGCATTTCCTCTATTGACAGTGAATCATTTTATCGGGTAGTTTGGGTTAGGTTATGTCATGGTAGCAATATCCCAGTGTCTTTCAACGACAGAGGTTGGTTTCTCACTCATGAAAATGCAGGTGGTGGCTGTGCTTTGTGGTCCTTTCACACTGGGATCCAGGTTGAAGAAACAAATTCTGTATGGGGAGAGGAAAGAAATGGCAGGAGCATGTGATACCTCCTATGGCTTCAGCTTGGAAGTAGCACGTGTTACTTCCACTCACGTTTCATTGGCTAGGTTAAGTCCTACAGCCAAGCCTGATGCTGCTGAGGCAGGAAGTCTGATCTTCCTCCACAGACAGATCTGGTAGGGAGATGCAGCATAGATTGACAATAATAAAATCTACCAAAGCCATATTTTTTCCACTTTTTGCATAGTCAAAATGTGACACAATGCCCTCACATAATGGATGTTTAGTAGGGGAAAGACCGACTTCTTTTGTTCCAGTATACTTTCTTGGTGGTATTGAGGACTTCGTCCTGACTTCTCTGGGTCCTCTTCATCATCTGCTTTTATTCAAGTGTTGATCATCAGCATTTTCTCTTTGTTCTTCTCTTCCTCTCTCTGGAAATAGTTTTCTACTACACTTTACTGTTTGGAACCCCACCATGATTTTCTTTATTTTCTGTAGTTCATGGAAATTTGCCATCACACAAACTTTCTGAGTGTTTCAACAAGATAAAAGAAACATTGAGTTTTGATTTAAAACCATGTTGAGACACTAGAAAGGGAATCAATTCTTTAGCAATTTGATTCCTGCTTTGTCATTCTGAGTAGAACCATTCTGTTTGAAGTTTGTACATGCCAGCAAATGGGCTAACCCTAAGCTTTTGTCTGGTAGCAACTGGGTTTATTAAGCTGCAACAATAGCTTGAGCTTAACTCAAATACAGAATACCTCACCTGAGTGTTGCATGGCTTTCAAGGAAATAATGTCACTATAGCTGTACAAAACAAGGGCTATATGGAAAATATCCTAATTCAGAATCCCTTTTGCCATCGATCATAGTCTTACTTCTTTTCAGTTTCTTTGTATTAATCATTATTTCTAAATGTGATGGGCATTTTGTTTTTGTACTTCAACACTTTGAATGGCTGTTGCAATGCTAAATGTAATCTGCCTTGTAGTGCAATTTTTTTTTTGCTTATATATTTAAGCTCCCCCAGTAGATTATAATGAAGAAAGAGGTCCCCTCACCACTCTTTTGGGTAAATACTAACAATGTTTAAATTGAACATGACTATTGAAGTTGCTGTCCTATTATTGAACTTAAGGTGGAGTCCTGTATGTTAGCTCTCTACAATTTTGTTAAATGACTAAGCGATTAAAATGCATGCATATTTTAAATAGATTTTCAGCTGTAGAGTCATAGCAGCTACTGTTGGTGCTCAGCCATATGTCCCTGATAGCTACTTTTTCTGAGCCCACTAGACTGACTTGCTAGCGTTAGCAACTCTTTGCCTGAGGGCTTCTCTGGTTTTTGGATCCCTCTCTGCCCCTATATAGACATATTGGGGAATTAATGTTCCCTGGGAGTAGCCCAAGAAACATGACTGACAAGAGATATTGGATAAACGCCCCAGCTTCCTTGCCTTTCAGTTAGGGTGTATATAGGGTGTTTTATTGGCACTGTCTTCCAGAGTTCCCCAGTGGAACTGAGGCCCAGTTGCCCACAGTGGTAACTTGCTTGATAATGTACCCTGTATCGGCTGTCTTCCCTTCTCTGCCTCACTTCTCTACTCTCCTATTGGCATTTCTTTGATTAACTCCAAATCAAGCTATTTGCAGTCTCATCTCAGTTTCAGAGAGTCTTGGAATTTCTAAAAAGTTATTTAAACCAAAACAGGCATTCATGTGTCAACATTTATAATTTAACAATTTCTCTCTTTCAGTGCAGTCCAATAAAAATGTAATACAAACTACATAGCTTAGAATTTTCTAGTGGCCACATCCTTTAAAGTGAAAAGAAAGAGATGAAATTTTAATAATGTGGTTTAATTCTATATATCCAAAATATTACCATTTTAACATGTAATCTATATAAAATTAATGAGGTTTTTTTTGATGCTTCATCTCTAGAATCTGTTATATAAAATATACTTATACTGTAAATGAAAAATACCCTTACAGTACATCTCAATTGCAAGTATTCAATAGCTATATGTGGCTAGCGGCTACCATATTAGATAATGGTGATCACTTCCCTGCTATTGTAACCCATGTGTCAAAATCTAGAAATTTGATAGCTCTTGAATTAGAGGTTGTGTAATGAATAGTATTGTCTATTAGTAAAATCTTGCCTTCTTTTGCTCTTTGAAGTGGAACAAAATTTCTGTAAATATCTAGACTGATGGATATTATTGCCTTGTTTAGCCTGTGTCTACATATTTTTTTCTTTTCTTCAAGAATGAGCTTCTGGCAATTGAGCTTCTCTCAATGTTACATTGATACTTAACACTTCTTACATGTTTTCATGCTAGCTATAGACTAGATGTTTAGCATCTGTGGTTGTGTTTTTCAGGCAGAGGGCACCAGACTTCAGCGAGAACTCCGAGGATATTTAGCAGCAATCAAAGGTAATGTGTATAAGTTGTTTACTGCATGTTACTAAGCACAGGTTGTTCTTGGAATTCATGAGTGACAGGATTGAGTGTTAATTACAAAGCCATTTGGCTTCCTGGCAAGATGGGTGCTTGAACACAGGTGTTCCCTTCCACCCACCCCCAAATTCCCATTGAAATGATAATCAGAATATATAAGGAAAAAATATGCCTGCCCTTATGCTGGAAACTAGAAATAAATGCCACCCACATGCCAGAGATTTCCAGGAAAATTTCTTAGAGTGAGCTGGAGACCTTGTTTAAGAAAAGCTGCAGCTGGTTTACCTCCTGAGGAAGACCACATTCCAAGAGTGAAGCACTTATAGACTCGCACCTAAGCCCTCCCACTGGAAGGGGCAGGACATGGTGGCAGAGGCAGGAGGAAGATTGTCAGCAAACATGGCCCTGGACTGGCTGTGACTTGTGTATACCCGCAGCACTTGCAGCCCTACTGACGTGCAATGCACAGGAATGGAGAGGCCTTGGCATGAGTTTCTGGACTCAGCCATGTAAGGCAAGGAAATGAGGCCACTGGAGGAGGGAAAAGAGAGCAATAGGGAGGTGGGCTCAGCCTATGTCTGCTACCCATCAACACACTGCCTGCCCTGGCTCACAGCCAAGTATGCCCACAGATATAATGTATCATAAGGCAGATTTTGTGGGGAAAGAATTGATCATCTGACAAGCGGTACTGGGAAAACTGGCCAAACACTTAGAAAACAGTGAAATTCTCAACCTCACACTTTACTCCCTCCTTCCTAATTCCAGATATAGTAAAGATTTAAATATGTTGTTTTGCTGCATTCTACTAACTTCAATAGGGATAGCACCAGGTTCAAGAGGCTGAAGAAGGGAAGCCAGAGTCAGCAGACGAGACACAGCTGTATTCGTGGAAAACTTACAGAGTGGGCCCAGTCATGGCAGGGCTGGGCAGGAGTACCACATAACCCATTGGTGGCAGGCTGGGAGGAGAACTGCATCCGTTTGGAAAAAGCAATGCAATTTCTGTAACATTTTCACTTAGCACCCTCCACCTAACAACATCCACCTGGCAACCTTTTTTTTAACCCAAAAGACACGGCCTCAATCCCTTTTATGGCCTGCTTCCACGGGACTGGCTGGGGCTCAGATGTTCCTTGTAGACAAGGAAAGAATGTCTGGGCTGGCCACTCCCAGATTCCTTAGCTCCGAACGCTGAACACATACTCAGGTGCATCCACCATACAGGTGCATCTCAGGGTGTGCTTATTACTGTCAGGTGTGTCTGCCATCCATCGATATGCAAAGAGATGTGCTTAAGTACTGAATAAATTATAGTAAATTTAGTCTCTAGGGTTGTAAAGGAGGTCTTTATAAGGGTTACTTCCAAGGCAGAAACCCATAAAGATGGAGAGATTTGACCTTGTAAGTATTTAAAACTTAATATATTTTTTAAAAACTCCATTTCGACAACATGGTTAATGAAAGTAAATCAAGATATAAAGAGCTCAGCGAGTAAACTAAATGAAGGTTAGTCGGTTAAGTAAAAAATGGGCAGAAGACTCGAAGGAAAAATGAACCAAAGAACTACAGATGGGTGATAAACGTGAAAAAGCCTTATCCTCAAAAATAATCAAAAAATATAAAGTAGCATCAAAAAGATTTTATCATTTTTACTTCAAATCTTCGAAGACATTAAAAATAAAAGACTGCAGTATTTAATATTGGCAAAACTCTGGGAAGCAGACCACATTCATGTATTGCTGGGAGGATAGCTTTTCTGGAGAGCATTCAGGAAAGGTATTTATTTATTTATTTATTATGCTTTTTAACATACCAGTTTCATCCTAAGAATTTATTGTCACAATTTCAATATGGATATGTAAAATTGATTACAAACATGTTATTAAATAATAAAATAAAATATCAATAACAAAAAATTGGCCAAAATAATAAAAATTAACAAAATTGATTTTTAAACTAAAATATATTTACTAATTTTATAGCCAGGCATATCATTTTAATTCTCATGATAGCTCTACAGGCAGGTAGTTTTATTATCTTCATTTTATAGATAAGAAAAATGAGTGATAGCCGGGCACAGTGGCTCAAATAGCCTTTAATCCCAGCACTTTGGGAAGCCAAGGTGGGTGGAACACTTTATGCCAGAAGTTCAAGACCAGCCTGGGCAACATGGAAAAACCCCATCTCTACTGAAAATACAAAAGTTAGTCAGGCATGGTTGCACATGAGAGGTGAAGGTTGCAGTGAGCCGAGATCACGCCACTGCACTCCAGCCTAGGTGACTGAGCGAGACCCTGTCTCACAAAAAAAAAAAAAAAGAAAAAGTGAGCTTTTTAAACAGTTTAAAAAGCTCATCCAAGGTCACATGCCAAGGAAACAACAGTGCCAGATTGCATATTTTTTTCTGTTTCCCTCCAAAGCCCTGACTTTTATCTACTGTCTTACTGCCTTTGAACTACATGACCAGTGGTAAGGCATTAGTTTCACAAGTCAGAGTTCATATATACAATGGAATAATGGCAACCTATCTATTACTTTTTAATGAGCAGTTACTAAGTGCTAGAGTCTGTGCTAAGCATTTTAGACATATTCCCTGTTTCTAACTTCCCAACACCGCTATATCAATGTCATTAACTTGATTTTACATTTGCAAAGAAGTAAGCCTCAGAGAATTTAACTTCCACAGTTTGATGGAATTACTCCCAAATCAACCTTAAGTATTTGTAACAGTTCAGTCAGAAAATAGAAGCCACTCTAGGTATTTCTTTTATTATTGATTTAGGTTTTGAACTCAGAAGTCATATGTTGTTTCAAGCACAGGACATTTTCTGGGTTAGTTGATTTTTTGAAATGTGAATACATTTGTTGAATGAAAGTGAGTTCTGTTTCCCAAGTCTATACAATTTGGTCTGTGCTGCCTCTTTTATGTGGAGCCTGCTGCTTATAAAGACTGGCATAATTTTTTTCCTTAATGTGATCTAGAAGAATTTCCTGAGAGTGAGGATTGAGCTCCAGAGAAAAGCTGTATAGAGCATCAAATAACCCTCTCTGGCAGACTGTGCCTGAACTCCAGTGCTAGCGGTCACAGCTCCGAATGAAGGAGAAAGGAATTTGATCAGCTTTTCCCCATCTTGGGTTTGTTAACATCAGCTGATTCACTGATGTTAACAAGCAGATCTGTTTAAAATTACTTTGTCCACAGCTGATTGGAATGAATTCCTAAACAGGCCACGGCTGAGTTTCTCAGAGCCCTTAATATGCTAAAGTCAACTCCAGAAGTCCTGTGGGGCAGGCAGGAATTACGAGTTATTTGACTATAGGACCCTTCTGTCTTCTCAAAGCTTTGTGAAGAATGAATAGTGTTCCTGGGAACATATTTTGGATTTTGGGACCAAACTTGAAAACAAGGTATATGTTTGTGTTAATCCATTCTCACACTGCTTGTAGTCATACCCCAGCCTGGGTAATTTATAAAGAAAAGGAGGATTAATGGACTCAGTTCCACATGGCTGGAGAGGCCTCACAATCACGGCAAAAGGTAAAGGAGAAGCAAAGGCATGTCTTGCATGGTGGCCGGCAAGAAAGCCTATGCAGGGGAACTGCCCTTTATCAAACCATCGGATCTCATGAGACTTATTCACTATCATGAGAACAGCCGGGAGAAACCTGCCCCCATGATCAGTTCCCTCCCACAACACATGGGGATTATTACAATTCGAGATGGGATTTGGATAAGGACACAGAGCCAAACCATGTCAATGCCTTAAGTAGATAATAATTTACATTTTCAAAGGCTTTCATGGGCAATTTTTCTTGTTTTCACAAGGAGAGCTCTGGCTAACTAATCCTGCTGTAATGCTGGTAGCATTCGGGCAGCATGAGAGAGAGTGATGCCTGGCCCTGGAGAGTCGTGGGTCCTGGGGCAATTGTGGGAAAATCATTGAGTTTCTTAGTTGCTTTGAGTTCCTCTTCTATTAAGTGCTCCAGTTCTCTCAGGAGCTCCCAAAAGCCCCCAAACTGGGATTCTGTGAAGTTGGGTTAAGTGAATTCTAGTTGGTTTATTATGACTGATCTCTGGGTAGCTTCTCTTCTGTGGGTCTCTTTGATTTCTGCTGATGCTTATGTTTTGTGGGGCAGATCTTATGTTTGCATTTATTTTAGCAGCAAACACCTCTGGAACTCCATTTGTGTGCTGGACACTGTTCTAGCAGAGGGAGATGCAGAGATGAATAAAACAAGGAGCTCATAGCAGAGATGGGGAGACAGTTAAATAAAAAAGCCAGATAGGTATAGTAATATGTATTAGATGATTTTGCTCAGTGCCATCACAACAGAGGACAGAGTCCCACCTTAGGAGGGGCAAGAGACTGGGGCAGGAATGGTTCTTCCAAGGAACTTACACTTGAATGGACCCAAGAAATGTGGTCATATGTGGCCATTAAGTGATTATGTTTGCTATAGAGAGGGAGATTTTAGAGGGACATTGCAGGTTGAAGAAACAACTGGACCAGGAGGTAGAAGGAAGCATAGGTTCTTCAGGTAATAGAGCAGTGAGATACAAGAGGAAAACTGAGCTGGATGAAACATGGAAAGATAAGCAGCATTTGTATTAAGAAGTACTCTATGTATCATATCACATGGGGATTTTATTCTCTCAATAGAGAAGAGAGTCATTGTTAGTGTTATTGTAGGCAAGGGAAAAAGTCCCACGGTCAGATTAGCATTTTAGAAAAATAGTTATTGTGATTGTGTAGAATTCAGGCTAGAAGAAGTGAAATTGAATGGAGATTTAGCAGAAGTCTAGTCCAGTAGCTCAATTGCCGAGACCAGCTTGGTCATAGAAACCCCAACCCAGGTGGCACTGAAGGAATTAAGAAACAAACAGAAAGATAGAACAGCAAAGTGGGACTTCAGAGAGCTACCAGCCTTCCGAACTGAGATCCTTAATTAGACTCTGACTCAGATATTTATTCTCTCTGAACAGGTGATTATTATCAACAGGCAGGTGTTCTGTGTTTTATCATAGAACCAAGATAAGCTGGTGTCTGCTTACCACGGGTCAAAGACAACTCAAAAAGCGTTCTCCATGAGGGAGCCACAGGGGCAGGGTCACACATCCCGTGCTTAAAGAACTAGTTTAACTGGTGTATGGTATACATATACTGTTTACTACTTTAGAATGCCCCAAGCAGTTTTCCACCTGGGGGGCTGGCTCAGTTTTCCTCGCTGTCATTCTCAGTAAATAATATAATTCATCACACATGCTAGGACTTTTTCCCAGCATTCAATAATATTAGCTAACATTTAAGCACTTATGTGCCAGGCAGTGAAATCGGCATTTTGCATGCCTCAGTTTATGTCATTTTCCCTACAAACTTGTGGCAGGTATGTTCATTGGTATTTTACACTTTGGAAAACTGAGGTTATTGATGATTAATAATTTGCCTAAAATCACATGGATCACATGTAATGGAAATAATTGCAAATAATAGTCTTAATTATTTTGTTATGTTGCCTCCAAAAACATTTTGTATTGTGATGGCTGACATTTGGGCATTTGCTTGTGCCAGCTACTTTGCTAAATTGTGTTAGGTGGATTATGTTATCTAATCTAAATCATATGTGATGAGTACCTAATCCAGGGAAGGGCAGTGGGCAGGAAATGAAGGGGTTAGATTTGAGATTCAGGCAGAATTGGTGTGTCGTGGTGACTCAGCTTTGGGAGGATAAATCTGGGATGACTTCTAGTTTTCAAACTGGGGTAACTCGGTGGCATTCGTGACAACTGGGAAAAGGAGTAGAAGGAGGTTTGGACAGGAAAATTAAAAGTTTGTTTTTGACATGTGAAGTTTGAGGTATTAGTAAGACATCCAGGTGGAGATGTCCAGTAGGAATTTAGAATTGGGAGGCACGCAGGTCCTGTAGAGGCCAGACACAGGGATGATGAACATGCCAGATCTTTCTCTAAATGGAACATGGAGCAGGTGGTGTCATTAATAATTCTTCAGGCCAGGTGCAGTGGTTCATGCCTGTAATCCCAGCACTTTGGAAGTCCAAGGTGGGCAGATCACCTGAAGTCAGGAGTTTGAAACTGAGGCAGGCGGATCACCTGAGGTCAAGAGTTTGAAACCAGCCTGGTCAACATGGTGGAAACCGTTTCTACCAAGAATACAAAAAATTAGCCAGGCCTGGTGATGTGCGCCTGTAATCCCAGCTACTTGGGAGGCTGAGGCAAGAGAATCCCTTGAACCTGGGAGGCAGAGGTTGCAGTGACGGTGTCATCTCAGCTCACACTTAGCTTGGGGAACAAGAGTGAAACTTCATCTCAAAAAAACGAAATAGTTCTTCATTTATGTGTCTTATGTGGGGGTATGACTAGAGGGTAAGGGTGACTGCTCGAGCTGCCTTGCCAACTGCCTATTTTATTCTGTCTCTTGTTCCCATCCTTGCTTTTCTTGAGAATCTAAGGAAAAGATTCTCGCTCTTGCTTTCCTTTGAGGCAGCTGCTGTCTTTTTACACAACTCTCTTTTAAGCAGTGGGACAAAGCTACTAGATACTTGAAGTATTTTCGATGTCCTTTTAATGGTTTATCACTGCTTCTGGTTATTGTCATAATTTATTTTAACTGATGTTATTTTTAACTAAAACACATACCCTCAGGCTACGTAAGCAAGGAGTACTTATAAAGTAGTGCAATCTAAGCAATGAGTCTTAAAGGATAAAAATAGAAGCTTACATATTTGGCTGCAAATGAGAATAGACGTTATATGAAGTGTCTTGGAGAAGGTCCAAAATTTTGAAGAGAGGGAAGTGGTTCCCATCAAATAGTAAAATAATAATAATTCTTCTACATATGATGCTGGGCAGTTGTCTTATAGTTTTAGAAATCACTAATCTTTTCAGAAAATTTTGGATATTGTACGTTATTCAATGTCAGAGGTAGCCTACGTTTAGCATCTATTCTGCTTTAATGTTACCAAATTAATCTGAAGGAAACTTGTAGTTTAGCTTTTTTTTCCCTTATCACACTCAGAGTAATCTCTAAATCCCTAAAAGCTCTGCCAGTCTGGAGCCCAGCTCCAGATTTAGAGCCTGTCACCTGTGTATCCATCAAAGCGCATCTTATGGAGTAGATGTTCCGAAAATAATTTCCATGTCAAAATGGTTTCTGTCCAAATGATTCATCACTACTTATCCACCCTGTAATTAGTAGTTAGTTTTGCCTTCTAATAGACATATTTACTGCAACATTGTGCTTTTAGTCTCGATGATTAAAGCCTTATATAATTTTATTTAAGCATTCATGACTTTATTTTTCTTCACAAAGGTTGTTTGTCCTACAGTGCTGTCATTTCTTTTTCTCCTCTTAAGACATTGTTAAAAACCTATCTACACAGCTATGTAAAATTTCCATCAGAATTAAGACAAAGATTTAAAGAAAATGCCAGTAGTCTTTTGGCATCTGGATTATAGAAGGGGGTTCACTAGTGATTAATGCTTGGTATGAATTTGAGGGATATATTTCTTGATATAGATTTGCTTGTACTTGGGTGGAGGTGAATTTGGACACTTGGGATAATGTAGCTTCCACCTCAGTGTTAACCACATCGTGAGAGAACACATTCCCCCTTGCTTGGATTCAGAGTGCTAGCGGTCGGATTCAGGTTTTGTCTTCTATTTGCTGCCTCTTCAACTGGATGACTGTGTTTCATCAGAGTCCCTAGAGTCTTGAGTCATACTGTTTATTTCCCACCCTAGACTCTGCTAGGGCTTCATCTGATGGTGACCAAGTTGCTTCAGCTGGTGTGGGCAGAACACCTCATTGTCAAAGCTTCCTTGAATATGCCCAATGATGCTCTGAAGGGAGGGAGATGTTCTTTGTCTAAAGAGAACACAAGCACTATGAAAATACCAAGTTACAAATGGACTTTTATACATACTCTTCAGGGATATACTTCTCTCATTTCTTTAAGGATATATTTCTGTCATTTCAAACATCTTTTATTTCGTTCTTTTCTCTCACAGTTGAACCCAGAATTAACGACTTCCAATCCAGCAAGAATGTTGAGTTTTTAGTTTAACAAATGATTTTCATCTTAGGATTCACTGACCTTAAGTTTACAGGATGTGCTTTTTTATTTCTTATGACAGTGCTCTGATTTTCCTCTCCTTTCCCTGTTCCCAGCCCCCTTTTATCCCCCCTAGTGACAAAGGCAAAGACATCAATGTGGCCAGGTCCCACCTTCTGGCTGTCAGGGAGTGTCTGCTGCCAGAGGCATGTCTCCAAGTCCCAGTTCTTCGTGGCCCCTTATTCTGCTCTCAGCCATGAGCTGTCTTGGTGGCTTTTCAGGACATACACTAACCTTTGTGCAGGGGGTCCTTGGGGGAGACTAAAAAGGACTGGGTAATACTTTATGGCACCCATGTTGGGCTCAGAAGCATGTATCTTTCCCGATATTAATAACCATAGTTTTGTAACATATCAAATGTATCCCTAATGAAAATTCAGACCCAAAGGCTTGTGAACCTAAGGTTTCTAAGAGTTTTGATTTAAAACTGCATTCATAGTTTTTAATGCTATAGCAGATCTTCAGATAACATTGTTTCATTCAGCATCATTTTGTTACAATATTGATGAAAAAAAAAGATCTCAGCCAGGGCCGCTGTCCATGTGGAATTTATATATTGGGTTTTCTCTTGGTACATAGACTTTCTCCCACATCCCAAAGATGTACAAGTGAGGTTCACTGGCATGGCAATGAGTGTGGGTGTGTGAGTGCACCCTGCAATTGTATGCGTTTTGTCCAGGGCTAGTGCCCATCTTGTGGTCTGAGCCTCTGGGAGAGGATCTGGTCACCCATGACCCTAAACTGGAGTAAGTAAATAATTATCTTGTTTTTATTAATCTTTCTTAAATGTATGTACTGCTCACATTTATTTCAATGTTCAATATTAGAAGTGTTTTGACCTTCAGTTCGAAGTTTTGTGATGTGTCTGTGATGAAAAATATGTCCTGGGAAATTAACTCTTGTTTATATGAATTAGCCTTGGGTAAAATTGGTTTCATTATTCATCATATCAATTTAAGTCATACTTTGCGAGAACCTATGACATTAGATAAGGACTTACTATACTGGAAGATGACAAACTTTTTTTCTTTGTTCTTTGTAAAAATTTTAGGCCACTTAAAACTTAACCATTTAACCACTTTAAACATGTTTACCATTTTAGGGCACTTAACCACTTTCAACGGTTATGCCCTGTAATCCTGTCAATTTTTACTTCTAGCTCCTTCTAAAAATGCTTTATTTCTTGTGTTTAAATTCATTAGGACTAATTTTAGTTTTAGAACTCTACAGTTTTATAGAACAGTGTTCTTAGCATCCAATACCTCTTGGCAAATGATAGCATACATAATAGGACACATTATGATCATTGTAATTTTCAGAGTAAGATACTTGTTGATTTTTCCCAAGAACCCATATCTATCATTGTCGTGTGAATAATAGAAAATGTGCAATGTGATAAATCTTAGAGACCCTCTAGGGAAGATACAATAGCAAATACAAGCAGCACTTGTGCCTTTAAAATTTTTCCTTAAATGTTTAGCAAGTACTCAATATTTTACTCTCACTTAAAAAAGTGGAGGAAGGGAGAAGAGACTCTTCAACAATTTCTGTGTAACAGGAGTTGTTTCTCTCCAACACTAGGCATGCAAGAGGCCTCCATGAAGCTCACGGAGTCGCTGCATGAAGTCTATGAGCCAGATTGGTATGGGCGGGAAGATGTGAAAATGGTTGGCGAGGTAAGAGCTGGGGTGGCTTCCATGAGGCTCCCATGAGCCTTGCTCAGTCCACCTGTCCCCTAACCTGCTCTTCCCACTTCACAATCTTAATCATGAGGTGAGACAGTGAACCCAGAAGGCACTGTGCAGTTCTACTGCCAGATGATTCCAAAGTTAGAGTGAAAAGTGAAGATGGGTCAGGTGTGGTAGCTCACGCCTGTAATTCCAGCGCTTTGGTAGCCTGAGGTGGGCAGATCGTCTGTGTTCAGGAGTTCAAGACCAGCCTGGTCAACATGGTGAAACCTCGTCTCTACTAAAAATCAAAAAAATTAGCTGGGCATGGTGGTGCATGCGTGTAATCCCAGCTACTCAGGAGGCTGAGGCAGGAGAATCGCTTGAACCCGGGAGGCAGAGGTAGCACTGAGCCAAGATCTGTTGAGCTGTTGCATTCCAGCCTGGGTAACAGAGCAAGACCTCATTTCAAAGAAGAAGAAAAGTGAAGATGGTCATAAAACCACTTGGGTAGATCGCTGTTTAAAAGTCCTTTTTGCAAAATTACAATATCATCTTTCTGTCCTCACTACAAGTCTTAACAGCCCATTTCTAGCAGATCTGGATCACAGTGTGATTTGTGTCCTAACTTCACCCCTTCATCACAGTCCCCTATTGATTATCCTTCCCCAAATGGAGGGACAGGAGTTCAGAAGAGCATCCTTTCCACTTTAGCATCAGCTAGTCCAGTCAGAGATCTTCACATCCTGGAGACAAGCACAAAGTCAGACTGTAAAAAGGAATTCGGCTTCAGGAAGCCTTTGGCCCTAGGCATGTCTTAACACCTGAGATCAGGCTCCTGGCTGGGGGCTGTCTGGCTGATGGGAAGTGAGTAAGCAGGTTTTGCTTTGTGGAAAGCAGAATGGACCAGAGACTGAGTAGCTCTGTGTGACGTTGGACCAGTTCTTTAAACTTCTTGGGCTGGTAGTTTTCTCATCTACAAAATGAGAAAATAATTGTACCTACTGATAAGACATTGATTGCCTTTTAGTACACGTCCTTTACCTACTCAGTGTTTGGTACGTGTTATGATTACTGATGTGAGACAACTGTCAGTCACAGATTCTCTCACATCCAAGTTCTTTGTTAAAACAAAGAGCAATTGTTTATCATGTCCTCTACTCCAGGTGAGTTATTGCAGCTCTTGAGGCACAGATGACCTAAACTCGATGTAGCAGCCAGAGCTCAGGGGAAGCTCTAATAGGTGATGCACTGAATGTCTGTGCAGCCTTGGAAAACATGCGGTTAACAATGGAGTCCTAGGCTGCTCAGTGGCAATTCTGACATCCTGACATTGAGCTTTGTAATCTTCTTATAACTGAGATAATAACAGAGATTTATTTGTGAGGAAGATGTTTGTTGGCTCTTTTAGATCTTTCAAAAACTTTCAGGATGCAGATTTGGCTAAAGCAGATTGCACACATTACTTTTAGATACAATTATTAAGTAATTGCATCTTCTCACATTTCTTCAATAAAAACACAGTATTCCAACATCATGTTGCTAAATACTTTGTCAGTTTCTAAGTAGTAATATAACTAAAAATTGATGGCCAAAAAATTTTAAGGGAATAATAGAAACTTGTGTTAATAACTTTTCAGAACACCACATTACATTCTATGTATGGCAGAGACCACTATTGGCATTGATTTTTTAAGGAAATGGCTGTTCTCCTACCTTGGCTCTTGCAGCTGCCAGGATTTTTGATATCCTTGGTTGCAGACACAAGCATAGGCGCTTGTGATGATGAAAAAACTGAACACTGCATGTTCAGAGGGTCTACTCACATCAGCAGTTGAGCTTTTTTAAACAGTGGATTTAAATGTTTTGGTTTACATAAAATTCTTGAATTGAGATTTGTAACAATTAGGATTACTTTTCAAAGTGTGACAAAGAAACAAAATCAAATTTAGGAAGAGGTGCGTGCATGCGTGTGTGCGTGCGTGCGTGTGTGTGTGTGTGTGTTAACAAGATATAAACAAGATAAAAACTTATTTCTCACATAGAGGAATTTAAAGGTCAGCAGCCCAGACATTGCATATTGACCCTACAGTATTAGGGGGCCATGTTTGCCATTTTTAGCCTGCCTTCAATGTCAAGGTGGCTCTCTGATCACTGGCCGTCAGCTCTTATTTCTGTATGCCAGTTAGCAAGAAGGGTGAAGTTTGGAAGACAGCCCACTCCCTCTTTTTCAGGACACTTCCTGAAAGCACATCCCATTATCTACAACACAGCCACATGACCACACCTTGTTGCAAAGGAGTCTGAGAAGTAGAGTTTTTTATGTTAGGTGGCCAAGAGTCTAGCTAAAGTGGGAGGTTCAGTTAGCAGGAAGGAAGAAAGGGTAGAGATTGGGTGACAAACAGCAGACTCTGTCAAGAGACCCAAAATGTGCTAGTGAGAGAAATGTGAAGATGACATTCTTGAGTACCTGCTATTTGCCTGAAATTCTGTGAAGCATTTTACATTGTCAACTCATTTAATTGGGGATATTGAAATTCAGGGAGGTCTAGCTCCCCAAAGTCACACAGCTGGGATAAAAAGTCCTTCTCTGGTGAGGGAGCCTGGTATGATAGTCATATCATGGGCCTTGAGTTCAAGGAGACAGACCTGAGTTGAAACCTGTGCCTGTCATTTATCAACTACATAACCTTGGCCAGGTTATATGACATCCTCTGGGCTTCATTGTCCTGTTCCGTATAGGGGAAATAACAAAGTCTGTTCTTATAAAGCAATTGTGAGTATGCCTTAACATAGTGATAGCAGTAATATTATTTGTAATAATAATAATACCTAATATTCATTGTGTTTTTATCATAATTGATACTCCATACATGGTAATACCCTTCCCAATATGACTGTAACTTTTCTGTTTTCCCCGATGGAGGCAACATATCAGAAATGATTTGTTTGTTTAGTGCAAGGTGGTTTCTGATTTCATGGAGTGCTTCAGAAGCAAATTGTCTTAGTGGGATTATTCTCAGTCTCTTGGCCCCAAAGTCCGTCTATAGGGATAGGGGGATCTTTTGAAGTTTCTGCATTCTTTAGTATTTTAGAATCAGAAATACAATTTTAATGAGCTGAGCTCTTAGCTAGCCTGGTTTGTTAACTAGAACCAGTGGCCAAATTGCCTTAAAATTGTACTGCATTGTTAAATGATCCTCATTTTTTCCCTAGCATCTCATATGTGAAAAAGTATTACTTGTCTAATTTTATATTTGCAGATTTTTTTCAGAAGTTTGGTGAAAGGTATCCAATTAAAATAATTCAGCAGTGGTCTCTTTATTTCTTTTTTTCTTTTAGAAATGTGATGTGCTGTGGGAAGATTTTCATCAAAAACTTGTAGACGGGTCCTTGCTAACACTGGATACCTACCTGGGCCAATTTCCTGACATAAAGGTATTTTACTCTGTGTCTATAAAGGGAAGAATTGAGTGGCCTCATGTAGTTATTGAAACACGGGCAAGGAAAGAATTATTAAAAGTCCTCAAACTGACATCAAAGATAGTTGGTAACTTTTCATTTATTTAAGCATGGAATTTTTATATTGTTCCTATTAGAAAAGAAATGTCATTACAGAAATCACATTTCCTTTTTAGTGAACTGCTGCAGCTTTTATTTTTCCACAGAATTCTTTTTAAACCTATGGCTATAAAATCATAAACCAGAGCTGCCAAAAATTCCAATCTTTTTTATAATGAAAACTTTTTGTTATATAGCATTTGAAAAGGATTTCCATTAGAATAACCAGTGGTCACAAGGAAGGGGGCAATATCATTGTAAATATGAGAGCAAAACCTGATCTTTCCTTTTAATGTATGCATTTATCACTAAAACTTTGAACTTAGTACTGCTTTTGCTGTATCATATAGTTATGGTATGCTTGTTTTTGTTTTCATTTGCACTGAGATACTTTTTAATATCCCTTTTGATATCTTCTTTGACCCACTGGTTGTTCAAAATTGTGTTGTTTAATTTCCACACATTTGTGAGTTTTTCAGTTTTCTTTCTGCTGTTGATTTCTAGTTTTATTTTATTGTGGTTGGAAAAGATACTTGGTACAATTTCAGTCTTCTTAAATTTGTCAAGACTCGTTTTGTGAAGAATCTTCCATGTGCAACCTAAGAAGTGTGTGTTCTGCTCTTGTTGGATTGAATATCCTGTATGTCTGTTAGGTACATCTGGTCTGTAGTGTTGTTCAGGTCTACTGTTCCTTTGTTGTTGTTCTGTCTATAATTGAAATTGTAATTGAAATTGTGGTTCTATCTGTAATTGAAAGTGGGGTATTAAGGTTTTATGTTATTATCATATTGCTATCTATTTCTTCAGTTTGTCAATGTTTGTTTTACATATATAGGTGCTTTATATTTATAATTGCTATATCTTCCTGAAGGATAGATCCTTTTATCATTACATGTCCTTCTGCTTCTCTTGTGAAAATTTTGGAATTAAGGTTTATTTTTTCTGATAAGGACAGCCATCCCTAATCTTTTCTGGTTACCATTTGCATGGAATGTCTTTTTCCTTCTCTTTACTTTCAGGCTATGTGTGTCCTGTAATCTAAAGTGAGTCTCTTGTAGACAACAAATAGTTGGATCTTTTTTTAATTTAAATTCATTTAGCCACTCTATGTCTTTTGATTGGGAGTTTCATCAACTTACATTTAAAATAATTATTAATTAAAAAGAATTTACTGTTATTTTATTTATTGTTTTCTGTTTGTCTTATAGTTCATTTGTTCTTCTTTTCCTCTCTTGCTAATTTCTTTTGTATTTTGTTGTTTCTTTGTATTCGTATGCTTTGATTTTTTTTCTCTTACTTTTGTGTAACTTCCATATGTATTTTTGTGGTTATGATACAATTTTGATAAAATATTTTATAATTATAACAGCCTATTTTAAGCTAAAAACTAAATTAACATCAATCACCTATAAAAACTCTACACTTTTATTTTCACCACATATAAACTTTGTGTTGTCAAAATTTGCATATATTTATATTGTATTTCCATAAATATATATTTTTAGTTATCTTTATGCTTATAGTATAGTTATGCTTATAGTATTTTTGTCTTTTGACTTTTACACTAGAATTAAAAGTGATTTACCCACCACTGTTAAGGTAATACAATATTCTGTATTTGTCTATATATTTACATTTATCAACAAATCTTATCGTTTCTTATGCTATTGTTCACTGTTTAGTGTCCTTTCATTTCATGTTAAATAAATCTGTTTAGCATTTTTTGTAAGGTGCACCTAATGGTGGTGACCTTCAGCTTTGGTTTGTCTAGCAGTATCTTTATCTTTTCTTTAAGAATATAAGAAACAAGTACCCACAGTTTTGTATCTTTTTTTCTGTCAGCACTTTATATATGCCATCTGACTCCCTTCTGGCCTGCTTCTGCTAAAAATCCACTAATAGGATTACAGAGATTCCCTTGTATGTGAGCAAGTCACTTTTCTCTTGGTACTTTGAAATTTAATATTTGTCTGATTATAATGTGTCTCTGTGTAAACTTCTTTGTTGTTGAGTCGGAGTCTCACTCTCACCCAGGCTGGAGTGCAGTGGCATGATTTTGGCTTCCTTCAGCCTCCGCCTCCCAGGTTAAAGTGACTCTTCTGCCTCAGCCTCCCAAGTAGCTGGGACTACAGGCATGTGCCACCACGCCCAGTTGATTTTGTATTTTTAGCAGAGACAGGGTTTCACCATGTTGACCAGGCTGGTATCAAACTCTTGACCTTGTGATCCGCCCACCTCAGCCTCCCAAAATGCTGGGCTTACAGGTGTGAGCCACTGCGTCTGGCCCTCTGTGTTGGCTTTGAGGGGTTTATTTTATTTGGAGTTTTTGGGCTTTCTGAATTTGAATGAACATTTTTTTTCCCAGACTTGGGAAGTTTTCAGCCATTATTTCTTTCAATACCTTTATGATTATTTCTGTTTTCTCCTTCTGGGACTCCCATAATGCATAAATTGGTCCATGTAATGGTGTCCCATAAATCCCTTAAGTTTTATTCTATATTTTTCATTGTTTTTCTTTGTGTTCCTCTGACATTCTTAATGACCTATCTAAGTTTATTGATCCTTTTTTCTGCTTGATCTAATCTTCTCTTGAACCCCTCCAGTGAATTTTTTAGTTCAATTATTGTATTTTTCAGTTCTATCATTTCTGTTTGATACTTTCTTTATCATTTTGTTTAATTTCTCACTTTGTGTATACATTATTCTGATCTGAGTGACGGTTACTTTGAATTCTCTGTCAGGCACATCATATATCTCCATTTTATTAGGGTTAATGCTTGTAGATTTATTTTGTTTCTTTGTTTGAAACATATTTCCCTGTTTTTTAATTTACCTTGGTTCTCTGTGTTGATATGTTCACATTAGACAAAACAATAACCTCTTTTAGTCTTTGTGGACTAGCTCCACATAGGAGAAGACCTTCACCAATCATCCCAGTCATGGGTTTTGGAAGCCTCTAAAACTTTTGACTATCCTGACTGCTATCTTTGTTCTTAGCAACCCCTAGGCATCTAGAGGATGCTGGGTCATTTCAGTGCTCCGAGACAAGCAAGACTCATTTTCTGTGGAAGCCATTTTCTTGGGAAGCACCCAAAAGTTGTATCATTGGATACTTGTTTAATTATTTCCCTGAATAGAGAGAAGTAGTGACCTGAGTACTTTTTATTTTATTTTATTTTATTTTATTTTTGCCTCAGTTGAGGGGAGGGTCTGTGGCAACTAGTTGTATGGTAGGTCATACTACCTGGAAGTTTGTTTTTATTTGTTTGTTTCCTCCTGCTTGCTCCACACTGAGGCACGGAGAGGAGCTGTGCAAAGTGCCTGCATGCGTGTTCAAACCTCTGTTTATTCTCTGTATACCCCAAGGTCTAATGTGTGCTAGACCTGTCAGCTATCCAAGACAGGTAAGATAGAAGACACTCCCTTGGTTAGAAGCCAGAAACGTTGGTTTGTTAGATGTGCAGTCCTACTTCTTCACTATTCACTCAGAAGCAGGAAGCTGGAGGTTCCATCTTGATTATATGGCACTGTGCTAGGGATAGCAAGAAGGTATCTCCCCTTTTCCTGCTTCTTTCAATGTAGCTGTAGTTGCCCTTGCCAAGGGTTCAGGAGCCATTCAACTAGTTTTTGCATTTCTCACACACAAAAAATTCATTCATGTGTTGGTGTTAAATCTGTGTGTCTGTGGGGAAGGAGAGTTCAGAGCCTCCTATTCTTCCCCCTTGCTACCATCACCTTTATTGCATGGTAATTTAATCTCCTTAAAAGCAATACTTAATAAATCAGAAGAGGTTAAGGAAAAATTATGTCCCCTTACCTGAAAATTCTAAAGCAGCTTACAGCTTGTCCAAATTATTCATATGATATGTATGCATAGTATGACTTAGCTAACCAAATAAAGGCTGTGACTGACTAGAGAGGCAAACATCTGAAAGTTTTTTTTGAGTTTCAGGAACAAAAGCTTAGTATCATTAATAAAATGGGAAGATCTTAGTTATTGTACTGTACTTAGAAATTGGGCACACTGTCCAAGAGCATGTAATTTCAGAATACAAGCACATACAGAATTACGTTTATTGAAACACAGAAAGATTAAAATAAAATTATGACAGATTATATTGGCTGGTCTTTTACACAGTTTATTCCATGTCAGAAAGATAAAGGACTCAGTATAACTTTTCCTTAAGCATTTCCTTTTTGGAAGTCCATGGATGAGATCACGTAAAAAGATGATCCTGCAGTTTCTGAACCATCTAGAGATTTGGAAACAATATCATCTAGATCCCTTGTTGGATGCCCTGAGGGTAAGGTAAATATATGTTAAGGTTTTATATGTATCATGGAAAGAGGCTGAATCTCTCTTTCCCTGAAGCCACATTTAGGAAACTGGAGCATACCACAGAGGCTATCAACCAAGATAGGTAATTGTGAAGCCATATAACACAACAAACAGTTCAGGAAATAGCAATGCTATTAACTTGGAAAGGAGATAATTTGGAATTGGAGAGTGAGCAGATGACTGCATTTGATATTTGAAAGTTGTTTTTCTGTGAATATGAACTTAAGCTATTTTCTGTGTGCCTTTACTCAGTGAATGGAAGTTAGAAGTAGGTATAGACTCCATCACTTTATAAAAATAGTGTTGAGTGATTATGTAATGACTAAGTTATTGATGGAAAGGAAGATTATGATTAAAAATACTCAGTGTAGAATTTTTAAAGCATGGAACACAATTGACTCTTGACTCCCATTGAAATCAACAGGCCATGTGCAGTTAAAAACCTCAGGCAAATTTCCAAATATTTACTTGAGTCCATCAGTAAGGGCTGTGAAATACCATTCATGAGGGGATGATGTTTAGCTTTTCCAGCTGTGATTGGCAGGATACCCTGTGTTATAGTTTCTGTTATGCATCATTGACATCTGAAATCAATGTTATAATAAGAGCCTGCTTGTCACCAACCCAGGCAGGCTTACAGCTGTGAGCAGTTATTGTAAAATATAGTTTGGATTCTATCTTGGCTGCCATGCATGAGCAACTAAGCATGTATTTACTACAATGTACCAAAATGAATTCCAAATTGAGATTATTACAGAATTTTTAAAAATGTATAATAAATTATTTTTTAACTGTAGAGGTTCAGTGCACAATGAGAAGCCTCAAGAATTTCTTTTTTCAAGAAATGTTAGTTAAATTTGTAATGTAATTTAAATTTCCTATTGGATGATTAAACAAGAATTATATAATTTTCTATAAAAAAGCTAATTGTCAACCTTACCCTTATTTAGGAAATTTGAGTTTTTCCCTTCAAGTTTCCCAATTATCAGATAGGTAAGGAAATAAGATTGATTTGTCTTTTTTAACCCCAAAATGTATGCATCAGAATGAGTGTTATTCTTCAAAATAGTCACTTCTGCTATGGTAAGCTATCATTTATAATTGACTTAAAAATTACATAAGAAAATGAGCAAGCCAGATGCAGTGGCTCATGCCTGTAATCCCAGGACTTTTGGAGGCCACGGCAGGTCGATCACCTGAGATCAGGAGTTTGAGACCAACCTGGCCAACGTGGCAAAACCTTGTCTCTACTAATAATGCAAACAAAAAATTAGCTGGGCATGGTGGTGCATGCCTGTAATCCCAGCTACTCTGGAGGCTGAGGCAGGAAATTGCTTGAACCCAGGAGGCAGAGGTTGAAGTGAGCCAAGACTGTGCCATTGCACTCTAGCCTGGGTGACAAGAATGTGAAACTCCCTCCCCCTCAAAAAAGAAAAGAAACAAAGAAAATTAGTCAAATTATTTACTTCATTTCCTATTTTTGAACAAAACTAAGATTACCCAGTTACCCAGTACATTCTCCCACTTTATTCTAAGCCTTAAAATATATTGAATTATAGCTGCTTTCAAAAATCAAATTCATCTTCAGAGAATCAAGATTTTCCACTTGGAAGATTTATTAAAGGAATGTCCCAGGCTAGAAGGCAAGTCCCTAAGGAAGAGCTTTTTATAAGAGTTTGCATGTAGTTACACAGGCCACTGCTTCAAGCAATACGCCTTTTTTGAAGGTAACAGATTTTTGCCAAAAATAATGAGTCTTGTCACTTTATAGGCACATAGAGTTCACTATATCTAATTGAAGGTTTTCACTCTACTCTGCCTGGGCTAACTCGTTGGATACTTTGAGTGACTAGGTGTGTGTCTCCATGCTTTCTGCCCATATACTAGTTGGAAGTGGTCAGTGCAGGGAAAATGAAAGCAATTAGAAATAGCCAAAGAGTTTAACTATCCCAACCCAACTCTCACCAGTCCTGATGGGCATGCAGAAGAATAGCATAGAGTGACAGTTTGTAGTTGACTCATAAAGTCTGTCAGAGAAACAGCAAGAGCTGTTTGGAAGGAGCACTAACCAAGACTCAGAAGCAGGGATGGAATTGGGTGAGGCCAGCAAAGAACCCATGGTACAAATTAGGAGGCAGCTGCTAACCCTGCACTCACATGACCCTGAGAGTAAGAGGCCTTCTTAAATTTTGTGCCCTATCTCACATGCCTCACCCTACTCCTGGCGCTGGTCACTGGGGCTAATTTCTAATTCAGTTCACTTTTGCCACAGACTTGCTGAGCAATTTGGGAGAAGTTAGCGGCAATCTCATCCAGCTCCACATTTCCTAAAAGTAAAATGGAGATAATCCCTGAAGCATTCATTCTGTAGGTTGCTAGAAGGATCCACTGGATGTGACAATGCCTTGTAAGCCATAGTCATTTATATTATTATTTTGTTTCTTCTTCTTTCTACCATATAAAATTTCGCAGTTTTTAAAGCATCTCCTCCTGGATTAGTTCTTATTATTCAAATAGCTGGGCATAACTGGAACTATAGGGAAGATTTTTTTTAAAAAGTGTAGATACCTAGGCCTTGCCTCAGACTACTTAAATCAGAATCTCTTAGTGTGGGTCTCAGGAATCAGTATATTTTATACTATTTCCTTATTAATTATACTTATTTTTACATTTTCTGATTTATTTGATGTATAATTTATTTGATATATAGTAATTGTTTATATTTATGGGGCACATAGATACTTCTTTATTAACTTATTTCTTAGTTGCTGCCTTACAATGTATAATATACATCTTTAACGTATTAGGCCTAACTTGAAATAATGTGTACTACTTTATGTATTATTTAAGAACCATACAGCAATATACTTTCAGTTCCTACCTCCTTTTGCACCATAACATAAAAATGTAATTTTTCTTTTACATATGTTATAAACCCAACAATACATTAGTTGTGGTTTTTTCCTCGGAATGATCTGTTACCTTCCCAAGCAATTAAAAGTAGGAAAACAAAATCTTGTATATTTTACATTGATTTTTATCATTTCTGGTACTCATTTTTCTGTGTAGCTCCATTTCATATTAAAATTCTTATGCTGTCAGTGAATTCCCTCAGCCTTTATTTGTCTGAAAAAAACACTTTATTTCACCTTCACCTTTGTAAGATATTTTCACTGGGTGTGGAATTCTGAGTTGGCAGATTTCTTTTAATTTTTATTTTTCAGTACTGTAAATATGTCATCCAATGTGTTCTGGCTCGTGTGGTTTCTGAAGATTAGCATCCTGTAATTCTTACCTTTTTACTTTTTCTTTTATTCTTGATGTTAAGTAGTCTATCATGTTTTTAGATGTATATTGTTTAATATTTTTCCTTTTTGGGATTCTCTGAGTTTCTTGCATCTAAACTTTGATGTCTTCATTATTTAAAAATATTTTCAGCCATTATCTCTTGAAATCTTGCTTCTTATTTTCTCATTTCCTTTGAGACTTCAATTACAGTGTGTTAGACCATTTTACATTGCATTGTAGGTCTTAGATACTCAATTATCTGTGTTTTTTTTTTTTCTACAATTCTTTTCTCTTGTGTTTTAATGGGAATAATTTATTGTGACCTATCTTCAAGTGCACTATTTATTTCCTCAGCTTTTTTGAGTTTAGTGATGGGTCCACTGAATCAGTTTATCTCTAAGATCATCTTAAAATTTCTAGTGTTTCCATATGATTCCTATTTTTCCATTAAAGTTTCTATATCTCTGCTGAAATTCACCATCTGGTTATGTATATTGTTGACTTTTTCAAACTAGATACTTTAACATATTAGTCATAGTTATTTTGAAATTTCTATTTGTTACTTCCAACATTTGGGTCATGTCCAAGTCTGTCTTTGTTGTTTGCTTTATCTTTTCTCATGGGTTTGTGTATTTTGTTTTTTTGTGTGTGTGTATTTTTTTTTTGGTTTATTTTGTTTTTGTGTATTTTGTAATTTTTGATTGAATGCCAGACATCATGTATAGGATAGTGAGGACTGAAATAATATTTATGTCTGGAAATTGGCCAGGCTTTTTTTCGGGCCATTAATGTGAGAGTTAGAATCCATTAATCAGAACCTGAGCTGAACTGGGGCTTTATTGTTGCTATTTGTTACTTCATTGCATCACAGCTTTCAAATGCCTCCAGAATTGGACTGCTAATGCCTTGTACTTATGTTTTAACATCTGTACAATTTTCAGATTCTTAGGCTGAAGCCTTGTTTTGGGGCCCTTAGGTGTTGGAGGGTTTTTCTCAGTGTTGCTGCTGCTTATTAGATTTTAGTTGTTTTTGTATGCCTGTGTTGCTGAAGGGATCTCTCTCCTTGCATTGTCCTCTTCCAGTGGTAGGCCACTATTGCTTGTTTTTTAGTGTTAGGCTTGTAGTGGAGTTAGGGCTGTTTTTGCTATTGTTATTGTTTTGTTTTTAAATCCTTTCCTGGCCCTGTATTAGGCAAAGTCAGCCTCATGTCTGTGGTTGATCTTGAGTAAGAGTTTCCATCCCTGTCCAAGTTTGAACAGTCCATTACTTGTTATAGGAGTCAGGTCTTCAGCATAGGAAGCTTTTATGCCGCTTGAGACTTTATCTTTTACCCTTTTGCCTACAATAATTATTTTTGCCTAAAATCTAAAGGTCAGAAGGCTCTCTGTCTCTCTACCAGAGCCACATTGGTTTTACTGCTCCTTCAGAAGCTGTAGATCTTTGTTTGTCACCTGTGGGCAAGCTCCTCCTCTGGCAGCGTAAAGCTTTTTTGTTGTTGTTGTTGTGGTTGTTAAGAGAAAATGTTCCATGGAAATGAGAGGGGCTTTATGCCTATCCCCTGGCAGCCATATATCACCTCATTCTCATCTGCACTGCAAGGGAATGTCTTGTTCCCAGACTTTCTCATGGCTTCCAGTGTTGACCCATGGGAAAAGGCTTGCCCATTAGCACAATCACCTCTGTGTCTTTGGCTACCAGCTATTCCAAATGACACATTAGTCCAAGTGATTATAATGAACAAAGGATTGAGAAGCACTTATAGAAGAGAATTCTTAGGGGTAAATGTGTTTTTATAGAATTGCTGTTGGTGTGTTATTAGAATTATAAAACTGAATGTAACATTGTTTTCCACTATCTTCGGAATAGAACATTTAAAGATTTAGAGTAGAGAATAATGAGGAGTGTAGTTTTTCCTTCTCTCCCTAATTCTGGAATTTTTCTGGTCTTTGACTGCAAACTCTGCCCTCAACTCCTCTTGACTAATCTAATTAGTATCAAAAGGGAAGATATTTATCTGATGGCTTCCACACAAAGGATTGGAGGCTGTCCTCTGATGTTCAGGGATCACTTAGCTACTGAAATTCCAGCTCACCTTGAGCATCTCCAGTCAAGATCCTCAGCAGCTCTGGGCAAGGAAAGCATTTTGGCATCTGGATGTCAAAGGGAGACTCTATGGCCATGCTTCTTTTTTAGTGCATGCATTTCCTGTTGACAGAATCGCATCGCCAAGCGTAGCAGGAAGCTTGTGGACTACGACAGTGCCCGCCACCATCTGGAAGCTCTGCAGAGCTCCAAGAGGAAGGATGAGAGTCGAATCTCTAAGGTAGGGATTGACTCCATGGTGAATACCACTCACCATATTTTATGATCTGTTGCTCTTTGCTTTTTAAAATTGTTTCCTCTGCAAAAGGAGATTGGAATCTGAACAGAAATTAAACTGAAACATAGTGCTTTTTATTATTTCTAATTAAAATAATGTGTTTCATGATATTGTACAGTTCATATGGTGACACTGACTCATACATTTTCATCAGAATGAACTTTGACCTACAATGTTGCAGAATCAAAGAAAGTAGTGTGTTTCCACTTCCTTAGGTGGTTGTGGTCCACCCTCAGTGCTGAAATGCAGATGCAGATGGGACACCAAGTTGAAATTCTCAGAGGTGACTGTTGATTGTCTGAGAGTACAGATGTATATATTTGCATAAAAGTAATTTTTTGTTAGAAAACTTATTTTTAGTAGCTTTCACCATGCATGTCAGCAAGTTACAGATGTTGACTAACTGAAGTCACTTCCTAACTACGCCCTCTTCTTCTGATCTTGCCTTTTCCTCTGTGCCTACCCACAGCTTCCTGAATGGTCTTCTGCATCTAGCTATGTTTCTTGACTGCTTAAATCTTTTAATGGTTTCTATTGCCTCTGCAAAAAATACTAAATTTGTTAGTACAGCACAGAAGACCCTCACAATCTGGCTGTAACTCACCTGTTTCATTTGGCTGTAACTCACCTGTTACACAATTTGGCTGTAACCCACCTCATCCATCCTGATCAACTTTCAAGTCTCTTTTCCCTTCCTCACCTTCTTCTATAAACATAGCATAAGCCAGAGCTACATATCAGTTTCTGAGCAGGTCACAATAACAAATGCCCTTCATGAGAGGCCTCCTAGATACCAGGCACCCTCCCTGTTCAACACTTCATCTACATTAACTTTCCTTAAAACTCCAAACTGTGAGGTACACAGAGGTAAAGCAGTCTGACAGGTTTACATGGTAAGCTAGAATTCCATTTCAAGGCATTTCACCTTGATGCATTGTAATGTATTTCCTACCCTCTCTTTTAGCAAACATTTTCTAAGTCTTTAGGATTCAGTTAAAATATTACCTTCTCTCTTCTCTGCACCACCTTCCATATAGCATGCTCTGTAACACATTGTAAGTCCCCTTTGTAAATGCATCCTGTAATATAATTATTTAGACTTTGCAATAGACTGGAAATTTCCCAGGCATGCGTTCATGTTCAGAATCCATAGCAGAGCTGTCTACATGGCAGGCAGCTAACATATTTTTGTAGAATAAATGAATCAGCCAAAAGCTGCAAGAGCAACCATTGTAATCAATCCAGTTTCCAGTTTTAGGGAGTCCTAGTGTTTCTTGTTTGAAAAACAAGGGTACAATTTTAACCAAATACTCTCCTTCTCAAAATGTTTTCAAGATGCCATAAACTATTCTCATTTTATATTAAATGGTGCTGTTGTGTATAAAAATGGTCTTTCTTAGTGTAAACACATGTCATGTTTCATTTCTAGGCAGAAGAGGAATTTCAGAAAGCACAGAAAGTGTTTGAAGAGTTTAATGTTGACTTACAAGAAGAGTTACCATCATTATGGTCAAGGTAAAAATGCTTCTTTACAGATTGCACATGTTGCTTTTAGAAATTCAAGATCAGTGAACATCCCTTATCTTGTCTTTATTATCTGTGACACTTCAACACTGTCCAATGGAAGTGTTCTTTATCTGTACTTTATAGTATGGTACCTACTTGTTGCCTGTGGCTATTGATCACTTGGAATATGGCCAGGATGAAAAGGGAAGAACTAAATTTTAAACTTAATTTGTTTTGTTTTAATTTCTTTATATTTAAATAACCACATGTGACTAGCAGCTGCCATATAGGATGGCACAATTTTAGATCTTAATCTATTTCTCAAGTGGAGACCTAAATCTCAGTTAGAGACATTAGGAGGACTGCCCTTCATCTTGAAACTTACAATAATATCCTTTCAGCTCTTGCAGAAACTTCCTTTATTCCAACAGCTCATCTAGTCATCTGGCTTAAATGATAAGCCTCTACTTTCAGCCCTGACTTTTAAATCTGAACTCAGTTCCTTTTTTAGGCACTAGACATTCTTCTTGTTTATATGTAATTCTGCATTTCTCATGGAATTAAGTGTATTTTTAAATAGTTGTTCTATTTTTCCTACTCAGTGGTAGAACAAAGAAGTTGTTGGATGAAGTAGGACCTTATGAGTCTCAATCTCTATCAGCATCCTCATGCTCTCACCCCAAATTAACCAGAATTGTACTTAAAATAATATGACATTATTTTAAATCAGGTCCTCTATTTCTAACTTCCAACTAGATGGATTTGCCTTTAAAGCCTTCCTATATACAAATTCTAGAGCTTCTATTTACCCACCAAAATTGTAAATGTTTGGAGGATCTATGCTAGAGTTTGCCCATTTTTGTGTCCATCTCTAGTGTTTTTAATTTTTGCCAATAAAAGGCACTCAGTGTTTCTCTCTGAACTACTGAAATATCTGGATGAAATGTTGGCTACTTTTTAACCTCAATGTCCAGCCATCACCCAAAGTCTAACATGCAAAATTATGTCATTGCTTATCTCAATTTACTCATTTTCTCTACGTCTGCTTTTCTCTTTTTTTGGTGCCACTATTTCTGGACTCCCAAGGCTCAAATCTTTGAAATTGTTACCTACAGGAAACCAGAGCCATCAAATTAAACAATCCATCACTTTTTGGTGTGGGCTTCTGGATTGCTCCATCCTTCTCTGGTCCCACTACCGCCACCCTAAACCTCATCATCCTGTTGTGGATTATGATGGTCGTCTTGCCCTTACATTTCTTTGACCTCTTCCTGAACACCTTTTCTTTCAGAAGCTCCACATTGATATCTCTGTGGCCTGCTTAGAACCTCACTGTTTGTGCCTAAAGAAGACCTCTTTTCTCTCCCAGAGAGGATTAAAATAGCCTTAATATATATAACTTTTAGGGATAGAGATAAAACAAACATCTATTTATGATTTGAATTTATTTAGTTATTAACATTTATTTAAAACCACAAATTATATGATGCTATGGGTTTTTAAAAGAAATGCAGATACTACTTTCTTTTTTGCTCTCACATTTCATGGAATACTTTTATCTAAAATCTTTACATATATATTTAGCATCAGTGTTTTTGTCTTCACTTGAGATACTCATCACCTCAACCAGTGGTTCTCCAGAGCTTATGATCATCTTCAACAGATATTTAGTCCCAAATATAAGTTGTCATTTACATACAATTAAGAAAGTTATTCTTTTTATTTCCCTTGTAAAGGAATTTTTTTATGATCTCTAATGTAATTGCTTAATTACTTTTTAAATTGATCTTCAAAAAGGCTTGGGTACTACAGTGTTCAAGGCTTTCAATTATGAAATAATACCCCTGGGAAACTGCCAGTTGCCAATTATGAAACTTTGGGGAAATTGCCAGAATTGCCAAGAGACACATTTATTATTTGCCTTAATATTTATTGTGTATATAACTTTTTTCTAGTGAGTTCTACTAAGCATCTAAAACTAGCATTGATGTTATTTCAGGCTTTTGTGCCCTTCCTACATTGTATTTTGTTATTCAAAATAAAGCAATTGTTAGAATATCTTGTAACATGAAAGACTTTGTAGGGACTTAAAAACAGGGAATATTTGAGGGATAATTTTGGAAAGAAACCTTTCCCCTTTTCTAGTCATACACAGTATAAGTGTTTCAGTGCTTTTGAAATCAATCTAATGTCTCATTCTGGCACTTAGGAAATAACATCAGTCAAAACTAGTTTTTCAATCCAGATCCCGCCTTTTCATTAAAACCTGACTTATGGCTTCCTTTCTATGTAGCATGTTTCTTGAAATCCAGATTACTCAACCATAATAATTGTGTGCATCGTGTGTGCTATACATGAAAGATCATTTTTTTGAGAATACTTTCTATTTGCTAGGTGTCATTTTACATACTTTAAATATATAACCTCTAATTATTACAATTACAGATCTCTCCATTTTACAGATGAGAAGCTAAAGATCATATTAATTAAATGCCTTGCCTAAGACTGTTAAGCTTGTAAACCCTCAAGGTAGCATTTAAAAACACTTGGGTGTTTTGTTTTGTTTTCATGTAAATCCTACTGCTTTTTTCTAGGGCCCCCTCTTTATTTAAAATGAGATTGTATGCAGTCATAATTTTTCAAGTTATTTCATGAATATATATATTTTTAAGAAGCCATATTACTCTGCCTTGAAATTGAAGTTAGTATTTTGTATCTTCTTTGCCTTCTATGATGCAATGCATAATACTGGGCATGCAGTAATAAACATATTACATATTAGTTATTAATACATGAAATCCTGCATCAAACTATTCATAATCACTCAGAATGTTGAGTGGACTATTCCATATATGCTTGTTAGGTTTGGGTAGACTATATGTTGTTCAAGTTTTTTATTTCCTTACTATCTTCTCCCTTGTTGAAAGGGAGATATTGAAGTTTCCTACCATTATTGGGCTTATTTCAGTCTTCATTTCTGTGAGCTTTTGCTTCATGTATGTTAGGGTTCTGTTAGGCGTGTGTGTGTGTGTGTGTGTGTATATATATATATATATATATATGTATGTATGTATGTTTATAATTGGTATATCTTCTTGATGGATTGACTATTTTATCTTTATAAACTGTCCTTCTTTGTCTCTAATAATTTTGTCTGTTTGTCTGATATTACGATAGCCATTCAAGCTCTCTTTTCATTATTCTTTGCATGGAATATTTTTTTTTCCATTTTTAAACTTTCTACCTTGAATCTAAAGTATGTCTCTTGTAAACAGTATTTAGTTGGATAATTTGTGTGTTCACACTTGTGTGTGTTTTCTCTATTCTGCCAGCCAGTGCCTTTTGATTGCTGTGCTCAGTCCATTTACCTTTATATAATTACCAATAATGTAGGCTTTCTGTCTACTGTTTTGCTAATTGCTTTGCTAAGTGCTTTACATCTTTTTTGTTTCTCTATTCCTCTATTACTGCCACGTGTAGAAAACTTTCAAAATTTTGCATTTAAACTGATCTTCAAAAATTAGTAGTTCATGAAGTAGAAATGAACTACTACTTAGAAGGGAATGCAGGTTCAATTTTTAAAAAGGAAATACTAGAATATGATTGCATCTTTTAAAGGAGCTTATAGATTATATAGATAAAGATGATAAACTGGTATCACAAAGAAAAAAGGACTCTAAAGAGAATTCTTGAGGTAAATCTTATACAATAAGTAAAGACAGCATTTAGTGAAAGGATAGTCAAGGCTGACATAGAGCATGAATAAAGGCCTGTGGATTGAAGCAGATATGTGAGTTCATGGAACTTTAATTAGTCTAATGTAGCTCAAGGTCAGAGTGATAGTGTCTGGGAAGGGCTTGTGGTGATGAAGCAGGAGAAAGAGAGCAGATAAATTTATCATTCATTCAGCAAATATTTACTGACCACCTACTGTGTGTGAAGAACTCTGTTATATGCTAAAGATGTTGTGCTGAAAGTTTTGTTTGCTTTATTGAAGGACAGGGTAAGGCAGTTACTTTTAGAAGAAATGAAAAATAAGATATCAGACAGTAAGTTCAATGCAGAATTATTTTTTTAGAAAAGAATAATTTAGTAGAGAGTGACATGAGATGGGGTAACTCAGACTGCTGTTTGAATGTTTAGGGAAGTCATCTCTCAAAGAGATAGATAATATATAAAGAAAAGGAAGTTTTGGGAAAATTGAGTCTGGCTGATATATGCTGAGTTGAAGAATCATTAGGAAATCCAAAACATATGTCTATTAAGCTAAGTCTAAAGCTTGAAGAGAGAGTTGGGAGTCATTACCATATGTGTGGTAATGATGCCATGGGAGTTGATGAGGTAGATGGTCAGATAGATGAAATGGCAAGATGAGGATCAAAGGTAGAACCTTTGAGAGTGCCATTATTTTATGGAAATTGCAAAAGAAGAGGGGACTGTGGAAGAGCCTTCAAAAAATTAATCAGAATTATAGAAGGAGCCATGACAGAGTGATATCTCAAAGGCAGGAATGGAGAGAGTTTTTAAAATGCCAGAACTGTTATTTACAATAGAGGCACCAAGCAGGTGAGGATTAAAGAGGCATCAGCGTTGGTAAACTTCCAGAAAAGTTTCAGTAGATGTTGGGATCAGAAGCTTGATTATGGGCATTGGAGACTCCATTGGAGATGAGGAAGCAGCAGCAGGCGATGGTGTCTGTTATTTTGAGGATTCTAACTATGATGGGCCTGAGGAATTGTGGCAGCAGGTATAGGGAAATTATAGGGCAAGGGAGGCTTTTTAGAAATAACTCTTGTCATTTTGAGAAGATGGCATAGCTGTGACAAAGGTGGAATAATTTAGGACCAAGGATATGTGGGGCAAACAGGGGGTCAGGACAAGGAGAAAGGGTGTTGATAGGACTGGTCAGAGAGTGTTGAGGGGCACACCAAAGGGCCCAAGTTTGATAAAATAGGATGCTCAACCTGAGCAAGGGTGTTGGCATGAAAGAAAAGGGCATTGATCTTACGGAAGTTTTAAAAAAGCAAGTGGAATGGCAATGAATGAATGAGGGAGCTCGTGGGCTAGGAAATGAGGTTAGTGGATGGGCCACTGGTCTGCCTCATCTCAGACGTGAAATAGTTGTGAGTCATGGCAAAATCCGAGATGTCAATGGCCAATGCAGAATGTGTATAAATAGGATGCCAGGGTCACTCATTAGAGGGCTCATGTTTTGGCTGGATGGTAATATGGTTGTTGAGATCTACAGTGTTAGTGTTAGGATTTGGTGAGGGAGAGAGGGGATCCCATGAGGCATGCCATTGTGGATCATGGTTGGGGTTGAGGAGTGTTGCTCAGAGGTTGATATTAAGGTTTGAAGAGGTTGAAAATCAGTGCCATTAATAGCAGAATGGAGTGTAAATGAGCTCAGAGGATTGAAAGAGAGCTAGGAAAAAACTCTTCCTCATGCCCCATCTCGATGGTAAGTGAGGGACAGCAGGGGATGCTTCCTCCACTCCAAGAGGCTCTGGGGGAAGCACTGACACCCCTCTGGGGAGACAGATTTCTTTAGGGCATTGTGGAGGGGAGAGTGCTCAAACCTGCAAACTGTAGCTGTGATAAGCTCAACTATTAATTTTTCCTTCATTTCTGAGAACAATGAATCATCTTAATTAAGAAATTAAGTTAGCTTTGACAGCCAGTCAGAAGGGGCCTGAGGATGCCATATTTGGGGAAATGGTGATATCTCAGAGTCTTTTGTTACAAAGAACTTTCAAAATGAAACTTTTAAGCAGGTAATATCAGAATCAAGAGCCTGGTACTCTGTGTCTGTATATTCTACTGCTGATGACATTAGTTTTTTACAAGCCAGGGTCACATCGGAATATGCTCTCATAGTGGAATGAGTGCCAAGTTTCTTCATTCACTGGCTTGTTTATTCATTTATGGAATTTATTAATTTGTTCATGCCTGCTGCATACTAGGTGCTGTGGCTGTCATAGTGAACGAGTTAAAGGCATCCCCCTCTTTGCAGGGTTGACTTCATAAACTGGAGAAAATCACTGAGTTGTTGTTAGGCCTCTGAGTCCATTCAGTGCACACATTTTAACAATTGTATCAAAAATGTTGGACATTTTATCCTAATTAAATACATGCTAGTTAATTTAAGTTCTAAATTAAAAAACAAAATATCAGAAAAGTATAGATGTTTGTTTAGGTATTCTAAATAAGATATTTCTGATACTATACCAGTTTCTCAGGATAATAATTGATTTGACAACTTAAGATATGCTATATATCAGAAAAAAGAAATGTGGAAGAATGGGACTTCTTTTTTGTTTTTGCTTAATGCATTCAAAGTTCAATATGTTTAATAGAAGTACCATTACGTATTGAAAAGAAAAGCAATACTAAGAAAAACCAAAAAATTTGAATGATGATTTACAAAAAAAGGAATGCAAATGAGCTATAAATAAATGAATAAAAAATGTGAACTTTAATTAAGGAAATGTAAACTTAAAAGTCAGTGAGATGCTAACTCTTGGCTATCATATTTACAAAGGTTGTATGTAAGGTAATGTTCAATTATCTTGTATATAAGGTAATATTTAAGGGACTATAAGTGGCCCAGCCTGGTGGGAACAGTTGAGCAGTTTGACAGTGAACATCAATGTTTATTTGGTTCATTCCTTTTATCAGTAAATACCTTTAAGAAATCTGTTCTGAGGAAATGATTAAGCTGTGTACAATACCTTAATCATAGATATTCATTAGGGTTTTATTTAGTATAGAAAAAATTAATGAAAAGAAAATAATATTCTCCAGTGAAGTTGAACTTACACATCTCTTCCATCTGTACCCACCTTCTATTTAAATTGGACCCCTCTTTCTGCAGCCCAAGTTTGTCCTCTTAAGCCAATGTTTGCAGCTGGCACAGGGCCCATTGCTCTCCTGTCCTCTCAGTTTCTGTAACTGTTTCTGCCCATATCCACTCACTTTTCATATTTCATCAGTATATGCCTTTTTGTGGTAACTTAACTTGCCCATGTGGTTTTATTTCGTATATATATTTAATCTGCTTATTTATCATATGTATTTATCCTACATAAACATATACATTTCTCTTAATATAAATATATATTTCCATCCTAAGTATCAATAGAGCATATATTCATCAATCAGCCTCTCTGGGTGCTTCTCTAACTGGATTGTACATTCCTAGAGACATATTCACCCACCACTATGCATGTACCCAGAGTTTGATAGGTCCTTTGTTGAGGAATTGAAGAAAGAAAGGTATTAAGACTTACTGTCCCAGTTGATTGGGGCTCTAGAGAAGGGGTCATAAGTTGCCACTCAAAGTGCTCCAGAGGACTTCTCTGCAAACGCTGCATGTGGGGTCTCTCTGCATAATGTCAGGTAGCCAGTAGGGTCTCCCCTTGGTCATCCAGCTGCTGCCTTAATTAGCTTCCTCAAATACAGCTGCAAGTCTTCTCCTTTGCCCTATCTCAAATACATCTAGGGGCTGCCCATTGCCTGCCAATAAATGTTGTGTTTCATGGTCTGACAAGGACCTCTGCCCCAGAGAACCATCTGCTTCCTCACCAGGCTCTCCTCTACCAGGTTCTGATCTGATCTTCCTGGGTGCTTACCATTTCCCAAACACACTGTGGAGGATTTTCTTTATTAAAGCATAGATGTCTATATGCATGTGTATTTGTATGCATAAGAATATATATACACACATGAATGTATGAATAAGTATACGATCTTTTTAAATCAATTAAAAGAAAAATATATAAGATCAGGGTCACATGATCACTGTAGATATAGAAAATTAAGAGTAAGTCAAACATGTTAGGAATTTTAAGTAAAGATAAACCATAGAAGAAGTTAATCTCATTGCTATTGTGAATGGGCAGCTTATGTTTTCATTTACTCGGTGATGGAATGCTCTCACTTTGATGAACAATTAGAATTAATTTATGGGTTATGTATTTTCCTCTTTCAAACAAATTTCAGAGTCCCAACACATAATAATAACTAGACCATTTAGAGTTTGTAAAAATTAATAATGAACTTCTCAAATATTGAAACCATAGCAAGAAACATGTAAAATATAAACAAGTTCTCAGGGTAGTAGTTCCATAATTGTTGTCTCTGAATCAGAAGCATCAGTTATCTAGAAACTCATCAGAAATACAAATTCTTGGTCTTCATGCTCAGACCTACTGGATCAGAAGCACAACCTCTAGGTGGTTCTTATGCACACTAAGGCTTGAGAATCACTGTCTTTAGGTGGTAACTGAATTTAGGAGAGGTCGTGCTTATGCCAAAAGATATTTGTTTTTGTTCATTAACAGATGAGGAAATGTTGAGCTTGCCTTGGGTTCAGTATTTTATTTATTCCAATGTTATTCAAAATGGTATGAAAGAAACTTGGGTTTTCATACATTTCATTACAGTATTTTAATAAAATTATTTTTGCTGACTGGTCTTTCCCCCTCTCATCTTTCCTCTTTGTATTTCCACATGGCAGACGAGTTGGATTTTATGTTAATACTTTCAAAAACGTCTCTAGCCTTGAAGCCAAGTTTCATAAGGAAATTGCGGTGGTGAGTCATGATGATTATTTTTGCATATGGAATATAAAGTAAAGGAAGGTGTATTTTGGAAGCAAATGAAATGGCATAAAGAATTCAGCCTTTTGCATGTTTATTTAGCAGTGTGTTGTTACCATCAGTAACATTTCTACAGTTTTTCATAGTGAAACTGGATCCCTGTCCAGTTTTGTACTTTTTGAAGATTTTACCACAGTTTTATGGCGTTGTTTCTTTTATTAGACAGTTTATAAAGTTGGAATTCTAAGTGGTATTTTAGGCTAATGAAAAATTGGTCTCAAAATATTTAGGTAATTAACAACTCTGTTGTTGATTGATTTTTTTTTTTTTTTAGTTCAAAAGGGTGGGGTCAATGTAAACAATAAGCTTTTGTTTTCTGCTCTGTACTCTGGTTAATAAATAAATATATATATATATTTATTAAATATATATATATATATATATATATATATATATATAGTTTACTTGTGTTAAGTTTGTTTCAGTTTTGACATAGATTTAAAATTTGAACCATATACAGAATTTCAGTTATCCTGAGGCCATCCAAACCACCATAAAATTTATAGTTTCTCAATAAGCAATTTCTTTCTTGGGGAAAATAGACTGAATTGGTACCAGGATGACATGTGGCTAACAGACAAGTGGCCTCTGTCCCTTTAGCTTTGCCACAAACTGTATGAAGTGATGACAAAACTGGGTGACCAGCATGCCGACAAGGCCTTCACTATCCAAGGAGCGCCCAGGTAGGCCCCTGCTCATCGGAGCATGCATAATCTACTGCTTGTTAAAATTTCTGCAATCTGTGAACCAGCCTGTGCTATTTTATTCATCCTACAAAAGCCTCACAGGAGCCTTTTCACCCTAGAAGCTGACACTAATCTTATTTCTGTGCTTCTACATTTACTTCTGGCCCAACTAGGATTCTTCTTGTCACAACAGCATTGATTCTCTGCCTCTCTTTGCTTTTCCTGAGGTCTGATAGCAACAGTATGAAATTTTAGTATATAATGTGTATGTTTGTTATAATACATAGTTTGCTATGTACTTATTATTTTCTCTGGAGAAGAAAGGAATTCCCAAAGTTTATGACAGTTTGTCCTGATTTTTATCGTTGATGCTGGCATCTTTTATGAATCTATTTTGGGAAAGGAAAGAGGAAGTATGTGAGATCTCACCTCCTGACTCTTGATCTGGTGAACGCTGTGGTGTTTTTGTTTTATTGCGCATTGCTGTTATGAGTATGCCAGTCAAACTCTCTGGATCCCCAACGATCCATAGGTGAACTGGCTACCTTGGCAGGATTTGGGTGCATACCAGCTTTCTCTGGTGATTTTGGAATCCTTTTTATTTCATTTTTTGCAGACTTTATGTACTCAGAGAATGCAGGCTAGTGAGCTGGGAGTCAGAAGACCCAGCTTTTGGTTTTCTGATTCTGCAGTTAACTTTCTTTGCCTTCCTTGAGTAAGTCCACAACCTCTCTGATTAAAGGCCTCATTTTTTTAAATTCAATAGGAAAAAAAAAGATACTTTTGAACTACATGGTTTCCGAGGTAATATGCAGTCCTGACATTCTATATTTGCCATTTTACTACAAACACTTATTTGCATACATTTATGAAAACACACATAGTCATGCACGTGAACCAACTTCTACATATGTTAATGCTTGGATCCCTCTAGAGATTGCTAATTTTCTTATTTCCTGCTCTTTGGATTAGCCCTACTTATAGGTTCTGCTATTGTTTCTATACTCTGTGATCAGTAGGTATATCTTCTCTTTCTAAGAGTAAGAATATTGCCTGAAAGTGTACACAAGAGAGGCAGAGTTACTGTTTTCAGCATGGTTATTGCAGTATGGGGCTAGGCACAAAGGAAGAATTGGAATAGGAATGTCAAAATGACATTTGAGTGTTTTAAAAATGAAGTGCATGAAAAAGTTAAGGGTTGTTCCATTACGTTGAAATGAAAGGGACAAAGTCATCTGAAAATTTCAATGTTGCTGAAGCAGATAAAGTGAAGAAAAAGCAGGGGCATGACCACTTAATGAATGTTCCTTTCATTTTTTTCGACATTCCTCTGCAGAATGAGGTGGTGAGTGAGCTCAGTGGTGTCTCTATTAAGCTTAGATTGGGGCTATGTTTCTGTCTGAGGCCATGATTGCTGGCACATGACCCCAATCATGTGGCGTGTCTGTGTTCTCACTAAAGGACCCAGTTCCCTCAGCTGCTGTATATGTAGATGTGCTCTTTTACATTGGGGTACCACTCTGTTTATTTGAGCTGTAGACTTTAGAAATTCTTAGAGAGTAGGATGTGTCCCGAATGCTTCTAGTCATCACATTTGGGCTGTTCCCGAGCATCTGTCCACCTGCCGGGAACATGGTGGGTTCTTGGTAAACAAAACTGAATCTTGTCTGATTTTTTTTTTTTGCACATTTCAAAGTGTCTGAGTTGAGTATTTATAAGGTCTAGAAAAAGAAACAATTAGTGAATTTATTTCCAAGTGTTAGCAGAAAGTACTTCTGCAAAATCCTTGCTAACACTATCTTAAGGCTGCCTTTTAACATAAAAGTTACAATTTTCAGAGTAGATATTTTTACAGATTGTGACATGGCAAGATTCTCTTGTAAATAGAAAGTGAAACTAGTAAATTCAATTCAGCTTATGTCTGGAAGATTCTTGCAGAGCTTGTTTGAAAGAACAGAGGTCTTGCATTATTAAGACCTGAATTCAGATTCATTAAATTGCTAAGTGATTTTAGGGTTTTAATTTTTAACCTTTCTATGCCCTACTTTACAACTTGTAAAGTGGGGACCATAAAACATGGCTACTGTGAAGATGAGATAATATATGAATGAGGTCTGTGTAGTGCAGATAAATGGCCCCAGTTATCACCATCACTGTTGCGATTAACCAGAAGTAACCTGGAAGGGGAGAGCAGAATGACAGATTGTACCTGTTAGGGTTCAGGATTCCTCTGAGATGGAAAACCGTTGATCAGATGAGTACTGTTCTTCAGAAGGTCCCTTGATTAATCCCCTGTTCCTCTAGTGACTCGGGTCCTCTCCGCATTGCAAAGACGCCATCACCGCCTGAGGAGCCTTCACCACTCCCGAGCCCGACAGCAAGTCCAAATCATACATTGGCACCTGCGTCTCCTGCACCAGTACGGCCTCGGTCACCTTCACAGGTAGGAGGAGGTCAAATATATTGGGGGATAGAGCTCATGGTGAGGTGGCCCCATTTAAGATGATCCCACAGTACCAGGGCTTTAAGAGAAGTTTCCAGTTAGGAAGACAGGTGTGAGGCTTTAGGCATTGTGATTTTCATGAAAGCATCCACCTGCTTTTCTTATTTGACTTTTGATATTTCCTCCCATGTGCTATATTCAAGTCTTTTGGGATTTCTTACCACATTCTCAGCATGCTCAGAATTGCATGTTCTCTATTCTCCCATCTCTTGATACCAAACCCTTTTCTTTCAATGCTCCTTTTAAATCCTACCTCTGCATGAAACTTTCCTTTGCCTAGTGATTTAGAGTTGGCAAGTACTGCCAAGAAAAGCAGTTATGTTTATATGTCATTTCACATTTTTTGGTACATCTGGACATTTTTTGGTACACACACTTGCATGTGAGTAGCCACTTAAAAAAACTATGTTGAACAAATAATTGAAAATAAATAAGGGCTGGGCAAAGGTTACTGTAGAGAAAAACTGCCACCTTTATTCTCCCTGTGTTGGGTGAAAATGAAATTTCTGTAGAAAAATGTAAAGCCCCCAGTCCAGTTCAAGCTTCCTTATACAGATGCCACTTGCATTAAAAAGGGATTGGATCCTGATACCCATTATAAGTAGAAAATACTATAAGTTAAAATGCATTAAATACACCTAACCTATTGAGCATCGTGGCTTGGCCCAGCCTACCTTAAATGTGCTGAGAACACTTACCTTAGCCTAAAGTTAGTCAAAGTTATCTAACACAAAGCCTATTTTATAATCGTGTTGAATATCTTGTGAAATTTACTGATTATAGTACACCATAGAACATGATATCAGTCGTTCACCCTCGTGATCACAGGGCTAACTGGGAACTGCGGTTCACTGCCACTGTCCCACCTTAAGAGAGAGTGTCTTCACACTTTCTGTTGAATGCCTATTGCTTTTACACTTTCCTGAAGTCCAAAAAAATCATAGGTTGAACCATCATAAGTCGAGGACCATCTGTATATAGTTGAACTAAGGAAAGTCTTGGGAAGATACATGTATTAAACAGAGTTTTACATTTTTTTACTTTTCAAAATCCTTGAATGGAAAGTGAAATGTAACTGCCTATAGTTGGTCTCACCAATTCAAATGAAAAGCTTTAGTTTTGAAATTTTAATTTGTCTCTGAAATGAGAAATTATTTTCAGTTTAGTTCCGAGGAGGGTATTGGTCTAGTTTAACCTTAAAAGTATAGGTATCTGACCCTGCAGTTGTGTGTATTGTACTTGAATTGAGATGAATGGACTCTTATAGCCTCAGTTTTTTTCGCTTGAACCATGGCTTATCAGGGCTCAGAGAGCCTCCCAAGTAGACAGCATTCTTTACCTGACTCAGGCAGGCTTGCTGCTATACACAGACGTAAGTTTCAATCAGAGCTCAATCTGTACACCTAGCATGTTCTCTTCATGTCTGACACATCATCTTCGACTGGATTAATGTTTGTATTTAATGCTTTCTAGACAAGGAAAGGGCCTCCTGTCCCACCCCTACCTAAAGTCACCCCTACGAAGGAACTGCAGCAGGAGAATATCATCAGTTTCTTTGAGGACAACTTTGTTCCAGAAATCAGTGTGACGACACCTTCCCAGGTAAGTAAGTGCCTGGGTCAAGGCTGTGATGTCCATGAAACTCATGTTGGAAAGACTCTCAGGGGTTAGCCCTAAAGAAAGTGGCAGGTGCCAGAACCAACAATATAATTTTAATTGTCATTCAGGCTTATTTTAATTACTTGGTTAGTCTGAAGCATTCTTAAATGGGAGATGTATGGTATTTGAAAATTGTCGTTTTTTTTTTTTTTTTTTTTTTTTTTTTTTTTTGATTAAGGGTAGTATAGACTCATAGAAAATTGGGAAAATATTGAAAAGTATAAAATGAATATTTTTAAATTTTTTATTTTTAAAAATTATATTGATAGCAAATATTTTACATATTTATGGGGTACATGTATTTGTTGCATGCGTAGGATGTGGAATGATTGAGTCAGGGTATTTGGGGCATCCATCACCTTGAGCATTTATCATTTCTGTGCATTGGTAACATTTCAAGTCATCTCTTCTAGCTACTTTGAAATATATAATACACTGTTACTGACCATAGTCACCCTGATCTGCTGTTGAATATTGGGGCTTGTTTTTTCAATCTAACTGTATGTTTGCATCCACTAACCAACCTCTCTTTATCTCTTCCTTCCACCCATACATTCTTCTCAGCCTCTGGTGTCTATTATTCTATCTATCTCCATGAGATTGATTTTTTTTTTTTTTTTGAGACAGAGTCTCACTCTGTCACCAGGCACCAGACTGGAGTGCAGTGGCACAATCTCAGCTTACTGCAACCTCCGCCTCCTGGGTTCAAGCAATTCTCCTGCCTCGGCCTCCCGAGTAGCTGGGACTACAGGCACACACCACCACTCCCAGCTAATTTTTGTATTTTTAGTAGAGATGGGGTTTCACCATGTTAGCCAGGATGGTCTCGATCTCTTGACCTCATGATCTGCCCACCTCGGCCTCCCAAAGTGCTGGGATTACAGGCTTGAGCCACCATGCCCGGCCAAGATTGATTTTTTTTTAAAGCTCCCATATTAGTAAGAATATGAGGTACTGTCTTTCTGTGCCTGGCTTATTTCAATTAACATAATGACCTCCAGTTCCATGCATGTTATTGCAAGTGATATTATTTCATTCTTTTTTGGTTCAATAGTATTCCATTGTGTGTATATACCACATTTTCTATATCCATTTGTCCATCAGTGGACACTTAGGCTGATTCTCTAGCTTTACTGTTATGAATAGTGCTGTGATAAACATGCAAGTGCAGATACTCCTTTGATATACACATTTCTTTTCTTTTGAATAAATACCTAATAATGGGATTGCTGGATCTTATGGTAGTTCTGTTTTTAGTTTTTTGAGGAATCTCCCTACTGTTTTCCATAAAGTTGTACCAATTCTATTCCCACAATATTGTATAAGAGTTTCCTTTTCTCCACATCCTGGCCAGCATCTGTTATGTTTTGTTCTTTTAATGATAGCCATTCTAACTGCAGTACGATGACATCTCAATTTGGTTTGGTTTTGCATTTCCCTGATGCTTAGTGATGCTGAGCACGTTTTTGTATATCTGTTGGCCGTTTGTATGTCTTCTTTTGAGAAGCGTCTATTTATGTCCTTAGCCCACTTTTTCATGTAATTGTTTTTTTAATTATTGAGCTCCTTGTATATTCTAAATAATATTCCCTTGTTGAATGAATAGTCTGCAAATATTTTCTCCCATTCAACAGGTTGTTTCTTCACTGTATTTATTGCTTCCTTTGTATGCAGATGCCATTCAGTTTAATAAAGCCTCATTTTTTCTATTATTATTATAGTTTTCTGTGGTTTTGAGGTCTTCCTCATGCAATATTCCTTTAAGTGATGTCTTGAGATGTTTCCCTATGTTCTTTTCTAGTTGTTTTATAGTTTTGGGCCTAATATTTAAGTCTTTAATCTATCTTGAGTTGATTTTTATATATCAAGAGAGATAGAGATCCAGTTTCATTTTTCTGCATATGGATATCCAATTTCCCCAGCACTATTTATTGAGAAGATTTCCTTTCCACAGTATATGTTCTTGATTCTTTTATTGAAAACTATTTGGCTGTTAAAATGTGGATTTATTACTGGGCTCTGTATTTTGTTCCATTGGTCTGTGTGTCTGTTTTTATACCAATGTCATGCTGTTTTGTTTACTATAGACTTGTAATATGTTTATAAGTCAGGTAATGTGATGCCTCCAGCTTTGTTTCTAAGCTCAGAATTGATTTGGCTATTTGGGCTCTTTTTTGGTTCCATGCAAATTTTATGATTGTTTTTTCTAGTTCTACTGAAAATGTTGTTGGTATTTTGGTAGGCATTGTATTGGGCATTATGGTTATTTTTACCGTATGAATATTTCTGATCCTTGTCCTTTTCATTTTCTTTCATCAGTATTTTGTAGTTTTCCTCATACAGATCTTTCACTTCCATCATTAAATTTGTTTGTAGGTATGTTATTTTGTTGTAGCTGTTGTAAATGGGATTGCCTTATTGATTTCTTTCCCTTCTAGCTCTTTGTTGGTATACAGAAATGCTCCTGATTTTTGTATGTTAACTTTTTTATATATCCAGCAACTTTACTGAACTTATTTATCAAATTTAGGAGTTTTTTGGGGGGATTCTTTAGTTTTTTTCTGTCTATAAGAACATACTATCAGTGAAGAGGGGCAGTATGGCTTGTTCTTAGCCAATGTGAATGCCTTTTATTTCTTTATCTTGCCTGATTGCTCTGGCTAAGACTTCCAGTACTATATTGAATGGCAGTTGTAAAAATGGGCATCCTTATCTTGTTCATAGAAGAAAGACTTCAGCTTTTCCCCCATGCACTATGATGTTACCTGTGCTTTTGTCATATATGGCCTTTGTTACTTTGAGGTCATCTCCTTCTATTCCAAGTTGGTTGAGAGTTTTCATCATGAAGTTATGTTGAATTTCATCAAATGCTTTTTCTATATATATGGAGATAATCATGTAGATTTCTGATTAGTTCTGTTGATGTGACGTATTCAGTTTATTGTTTTGCGTAAGTTAAACTATCCTTATAACCCCGATATAAATCCCACTTGGTCATGGTGTTTCATCTGTTTGATGTGCTGTTGGATTTGGTTTGCTAGTATTTTGTTAATGATTTTTGTATTTATGTTTATCATGAATATTTGCCTATAGTTTTCTTTTCATTGTGTTTTTGTTTGGTTTTGGTATCAGGGTAGTGCTGGCCTTGTAGAATGAGTTAGGGAGAGTTCTCTCCTCTTCAATTTTTTTTTTTTTTTTTGGAATAGTTTCAGGAGGATTGGTATTGATAAGGTTGGGCTGTGAATTCGACCAGTTCTGGGCTTCTGTTTGTTGGGAGACTGCTTTATTTTTATTTTATTGTAGATTCAGGGGGCATATGTAGAGTTTTGTAACATAGAGATATTGCATGATGCTGAGGTTTGAGCTTCTAATGATCTTATCACTCAGATAGTGAACATAGTCCCCAGTAGGTAGCATTTTACCTTTGCCCACCTCCATCCCTCCATCCCCCAATCTTTTTGTGAGTCCAAACACACAAATGAGGAAGAGAGATGACTCAAATGGTACTACTACAGTATACTACCAAACCACAATGACATATATATGTGACATATATACACACACACACACACACACACACACACACACACACACACAAATGATCAGAAAACAATTAACATTATGACAGTAACAAAACCTGGCATATCAGTAATAGCCTTGGAAGAAAACAGATTAAAGATAAACTGACTAAATAAATGCTTTTCTCTTACAGTTCTTAGTATTCTCTCTTTTATATTTACTTTAATACATAGTTTGACTGTAATATACCATTGAGAAGATCTTTTTGCATTGTATTTGTTTAAGGATATTTGGGCCTCCTATATCTGGATGGCTAGGTCTATTGCTAGACTTGGGATGTTTTCAATCTAATACTTCATTAAATAGGTTTTCTAGCCCATTTGTTCTCTTTTGGCCCTCAAGGACACTAATAATTCAAATATTTCATTGCATTATATTGTTCCAAATGTCCAGAAGGCTTTGTCTATTCTTTTTTGTTTATTTTTGTCTCACTGGATTATTTCAAAGACCTGTCTACAAGTCCTGAGATGCCTTCTCCTGTGTGATCTAGTCTATAGTTGAAGCTCTCAAATGTGTTTTGCATTTTGGTCAATAAATTCTTCAGTTCCAGAGTTTCTATTTGGTTCTTTTAAAAAATATCTATCTCTTTGGTAAATTTCTCATTCATATCCTAAAATGGTTTTCTGATTTCTTTGTTTTTCAAAATTCTCTTGTATCTCACTAAGCCTCTTTAAAAACAACATTTTGAATTCTTTATCTTGTTTCTTTGGAAGTATCATATTTCCTTGTTGTTTTATGTTTCTGTTTCCTTGTGTTGATATCTGTGCATCTGGTATAACTTCCAGTTTCCAACATCCAATCTGGTTGCTTCTTCCAGTTCTTTGAAATTGGTTTTTGTAGGGGAAAGCTTTTCCCTGAAGACGTATATATGTTGTTGGCTGAGTCGGACATTTTGGCTTTGATTTTGGCCACATGTAGTAGTGTGATCTTTGTGTGATTTAATTGACTGTAAATAGTGTCAGTTGTAATTGTGATTTCCTCAGTGGCTTTGGGTGCTTTTGCTAGTGGTGGGGGACAGGGTAAAGTTTTGCTGAGAACAAGAATGCTGATTTGACCAGTCTTTGGGCCCCAATGGTGGCAGTGATGGGCTGAGTGTGCTTGTCCTTGGCCTAGTGTGGGTTACACTAGCTCCAGTGTTAATGAGTCCAGACAGGGTGATTCTTAGGCTCCAGGTGGCTTGCTCAGATATTGGTAGTGGCAGCAGTGGGATGAGTGGGTGGTCAGGTTCTCAAGCCTCTGGGCAGCTGATGTGATGTGGGTGATGTCAGTAGCAGTGGTGGAGTAACCCACTGGAACCCAAGTGGTCCACTCTGGTGTTGGTGGTAGCTGTAACAGGGTGGATGTGCCAGTCCATTGGGCTGCTG